GTGTCATTGCTTACCGACTAGTATCCCAGGTTCCGCCCAACAATTGGTGACCCCCTGTCAGGAACACGCCGCCCGCCATTTTGCATTTTCATTCTGGTGAGCTCGTTCCAGTGATTTTGTGATTCATTACTTGTGATCATATTGTTTTCTCACCTACCACATTTTTATCTGCTTTTTGCAATGGATAATCTAGAGGATAAGCCGTCTCCATGCGCGGTTAACGCCGTTCAGCCTGCCATGGTCAATTCGGTTGCATTGGCCCCTCCTTTTTGGAGAATGATCCTTTATTATGGTTTTTACATTTAGAATCCGTATTTTATATTCGTAAGCTTTCTTCTGATTTCGCCATGTATAATCAGTTAATATCTTGCCTTCCTTATAGTATATCCTCGCAGGTGAGAGACATCATACTTTGCCCCCCTCTAGTAATGAAATACGAGACACTTAAACAGGCTATTATTCAGCGAATCACGCCTTCTGACAAGGTCCGTCTGCAGCAGCTATTTAGTGATCTGCAGCTAGAAGGTAGGATGCCCTCAGCCTTGTTGCGCGAAATGCAACAGCTCATCGGCACGTCCAACATGGACGTAGGGATTCTCCGCGAGCTGTGGATGCAACGCCTTCCTGAAAGCACACAGGCTATCCTTGCAGTAGCAAGTGACTTGCCCATCACAGCAATTGCAGATCTAGCAGACCGCGTCATCGAACGGCACCAGCCAGAGACTGAAACCAAAGCACTTAAGCAGCTTTGCGCTGGCGCAACCACGACAGGCGCGACTAGCCCTCCGTCGGCAATAGACGCATTATCATTGCAGATAGCGTCGCTTCAGCGCCAGGTCAAAGAACTCACCTTAAAACGTAAGCATTGCAACCGCTCTGGATCATCGCACCGTCGCACAAAACCTGATGCCTCAGGTTACTGCTTTTACCACTCGCGTTTCGGTACTAAAGCCCGTAAGTGCGTACAGCCGTGTAGCTACTCCGCTATAGATGATCCGCCACGCCGGGCTGTAATGGCCACGAACTTCGGCAAAGCCCAAAGTCGTCTCATCTACATTAGGGATTATGACTCCGATACCCAGTTCTTAGTTGATACTGGGGCGGAAGTCAGCGTCATTCCCCCTATGCCAGGTGAGCCTACCACTTCTCTGTCGACAAGCCTCAGTGCCGCCAATGGCACACCAATAGCCACCTATGGTCATCGGTCACTTACCCTGGACCTAGGTCTTCGGCGCACGTTCCGCTGGGTATTCACCGTCGCTGCAGTCCCCTTTGCCATCATCGGCATTGACTTTCTCAGGCATTTCGACCTCTTGGTCGATGCGAAACGCCAGATGATAGTCGACACTGCAACAAAACTCAGCGTACGTGGCATCACCGCCGATGTGACATCTATATCCCCGGTCTATGCATTTCCCCAGACCTCGTCAGCCTACGCTAATCTCCTTTCTCAGTATCCCAAGCTCGTTCAGCCAATGAACGCAGCTTTGCCCGTGGCAGCTCAAGTCACGCACCACATACGGACGAATGGCCCACCTGTGTCATGCCGTCCACGCCGACTATCGCCTGAGAAACTAAAGGTAGCTAGGGCGGAGTTTGAGCACATGCTTGAACTTGGAATAATCCGCCCTTCCGACAGCCCTTGGTCCTCGCCCCTGCAGGTGGTCCCCAAGAAATCTGGTGACTGGCGTCCTTGCGGTGATTACCGCGCACTCAATCGCCTAACCGTCCCAGATAGGTATCCCATCCCACACATGCAGAATCTTACCGCATGCCTCACAGGTAAGACGATCTTCAGCAAGATCGATCTGGTTCGCGCCCATCACCAGATACCTGTGGAAGACAATGACATTCCTAAAACAGCCGTAATCACTCCTTTCGGTTTGTTTGAATTTTTAAGAATGCCATTTGGACTGTGCAACGCCGCACAAACCTTCCAACGCTTCATCCACGATGTCACTCGTGGCCTAGACTTTGCATATTCCTACCTCGATGATATCTTAGTAGCCAGTTCATCGGAACAAGAGCACCTCGAGCACCTTCGAACTCTGTTCCAGTGCTTGACCCAACACGGTGTCACAGTCAACCCGACTAAGTGCGAACTCGGCAAATCAACGGTAGAATTCCTAGGCCACGTCGTTTCATCGTCTGGTATCGAAGTCCTTCCTGATAAGATCCAGGCAATCAAGGACTTCCCAGCTCCGACTTCCTTCAAGCACCTCCGTCGATTTTGTGGTTTGGTCAACTACTATCGACGCTTCATTCCGCGCTGCGCTCAGCTCATGCAGCCACTGACTGACCTACTCAGAGGAAATGAACGTAAGTTCGCTTTCCCTGACACAGCACAGGCAGCCTTCGCAGAGCTCAAGGATGCTATCTCCAACATAGCCCTCCTCGCTCATTCGGAATCGACTGCACCTCTTTCTATTACAACTGACGCCTCAGACGTCGCGGTAGGAGCCGTCCTCCAACAACACGTTGGTGGGCAATGGCAACCCCTTGGGTTCTTCTCCAAGCGCCTGCAGCCAGCGGAATCCCGCTACAGCACGTTTGGCAGAAAACTGCTCGCCATTTACCTAGCCATTCGTCACTTCCGTCACACACTTGAAGGCCGCGCTTTCACGGTCTACACTGACCACAAGCCCCTTATCTTCGCCTTTAACTCTGCTAGCGACAAATACTCACCACGGGAAACAAGACACCTAGACTTTGTCACGCAGTTCACTGCTGACATACGTCATGTCTCAGGTGTCGACAATCCCGTCGCCGACGCTCTCTCACGCATCAACCTCACTCTGCAGTCTTTGCCTACCGTCGATCTTGCCGCCACGGCATCGGCTCAGGCTCAAGACGAAGACATACAGCGCACTCTGCAGTCCACTTCGCTGCATGTGCAACCTGTTGCTCTCCAAACCGCGGAAGGAACCATCCTCTGTGACACGTCCACAGGTTGTCCTAGACCTCTCGTGCCCGTCTCCTTCAGACGCACAGTCTTCGACGCACTGCACTCACTGTCACACCCCGGTATCCGTGCATCTTTGAAACTGGTCACCGAACGTTTCGTTTGGCCACGCGTAAACAAAGATGTTCGTACCTGGGCTCGCGCCTGCCTTCAATGCCAGGGCATGCGTTCACTACGCCCGACCCCGCCCCGTGAGCAGAATAGAGATGTACAAATGCACAGCGGACTCTCTACCTGTACTTACGTCTTCCTCCGCACCGACGCAGTGCGGCGCCCTCTCCAGCCTCCCTACACTGGCCCTTTCAGAGTTCTGCAACGGACTCCGAAACATTTTACTATAGACCAGAATGGTCATCGAACAACGGTGTCCATCGACCGACTCAAAGTGGCTTTCTTTGACGAGCCATTTTCAACTCATCCTGATGCTCTCCCACAAGCACCCGCACCTGTGGTGACTTCCCGAGCACTGGATAACCCGGATCCCTCCGTACCCCTTGACCCGCAGCTTATGTCGCCGCAACCCCAGGCAACCGACAGACGCGGTAGACAGGTCAAACGTCCGGTCCATTTTTCCGATTTTGTAAGCGTTTGCTATTCCCATTAACACGTCTTCTTCGTCTTTAATGGCTATCCTGCGTATCACCCACAAACGTTTTGCAAAATCGACAAAAAAACCCAAAACATTTTGAAAACCTAAAAAGCGTAATTGCTTTTATCATACATGCCATGTTCCCTCTCCGGCGTCAAGCCACTTCCCCGACCCTTGCCAACCCCCTCTGAGTTTTACCTTCCAGAAACTCAACCGCCGGAACTGCCCAGGCAACCCTCGAGTGACTCGCCAACCGGCTCAACGCAACCCTGGAGTGACTTGCCAGCCGTCCTCACCCAAGGAACAGACAGTCGCCCTCGATCGCAGACACCCACGAACGAATTGGTCCCCAAACGCCGCTTAGGCATTGCCGACGACGCCGGATTTCTTCGTGGGACGAGGACTGTGGACTAAAGTGCGATGGGGGGAGTGACACCTCCCAAGCGCACCGTCGGGTCTGCGGCAATGGGAAGGTCCTGTTGGCCTTTTTTCTGGACTAGCCAGTTTTTTTGCAGTCCGACCAGCCCGCCCCGACGGCCCACCGATGATGCACTCTGGTCCACACGATCGTCATAAATAAAACTAACAAAAGCCTGGACCCAGCGAAATCTGCTACACCCCAATTTGGAAGCCCTTCTCCAGCCCCTGCAAACATTCGCATCCACCCTCACCTTCCATTTTCCCCCACTAACAGCTCTATCGAAGGCTCCCGTCCTTCAGCCTTCTAGGAGGAGGCCTTGTAGTGCACCGGAAAACATGCTCTTTCAGTACTCTGTAACATTGGATTTATGGTTGTTTTAACCTTCGAAACGTCCATTTGTTTAACTGACTGCACATCCGTTGTCACAAACCGTTTTGGTGAGTTCCTCGCTGCACGTTTCTTGCTCTGTCTGATTCGCTTCCTATTCTTGTATCCTGCACAATACACGTTGGGTTCAGTTGCCTCCGACTTCTATACTGTCGTATTTGACACGTCTTACGTGTCATCGCTCACCGACTGGTATCCCAGGCTCCGCCCAACAAGCGTCCACGGCCTCGTTCCTTTATAGCTAGGTAACAGGGAATCTTTTACTGTGCCAATAAAAGTTTCCATGCAACTTGATCTGTCTTTTCGAATCGGTCCCCGGGTTCCCGGTACAAGCTACCCTATAAAATATCCGCGCTTGATTTCGCGCACCGTCTCGGACTTGTATTCTCTAGTCTTACGGTTGCAAATATAACAGACCAACGTGAACGTCGTTTCTCAGCCTCAGGCATCGTCGCTACTCTTACCGAGATATGGTGAAGCTGACAAAATTTTCTGCGTTCCACAATACGGTGGTTCAGTGTTTCCCAAACAACGAGCCAAAATCCAGCATGCGAATAAAATATATAAAGGCACTTTCTATCTACAATAAACTACATACATGTAGGTGGTAATTTTTAACTTATCATGACTACACATCTCACCTCATCAGTTAAACAAGCGTCAGAAAGATTGAGTGAGGTAATGGCAGTATAAAAGCCAACACTGTTCAGTATTGGCTTGCATCTGCGGACCCCAAGTACACAGTGTTCCAAGGACAATTTGGCTTCTTTCATGTTTCTTAGAAAGTAGCTTGAAGCTATGACTTTCTTTTTTGTACAGTCTGAGATGTAAAACAGCTGGGCTTCATCTGTATACCAAGAACCCAGATCCTAAAAGATCTGAAATATCAAAAAACCAAGAATACCATTGCGTAGTTGGGTTTACAATACCGGGTCGTGGCAAAAGGCGGCTGCTTAGCTAAACTTTTTTCTGCGGATGTTTCATAATCATCCGGGTCAAAACCCATCGTTATAGGTTGATCTATGTAGGTTTATGGCGTGCAGTAGAGAAATAGTAACCTTCAGTGTTATTATCCATGTTTAAGGACTGTCAATACATTTAATCTATTGCCCTTGTCCACTACATAATTGACGGAAACAGAACATATTTTTAAAAAAGTGCCTGTTGTCATGGTTGCTGCGGTAAATAAACGAAACCCATAAAGCTAATCATGACGTACCTCACTTAGAGACTGTATTTTACGAATATTTGATAAGTTGTTTTAATCTTTTATAACGGCAACCTTTTGAAACATAGTCATGAGTTCATGTTGCTTTTCCCTGCAGAGCATTTGCAATTCCCTCTTTTGCGAGAATTAATGACAAGTTTTAATGAAAGGGGTTGTGAACCCTGCTAGCACAGAGTCAGATCACAAGCCTTCTGTAAATTATTTGTCATCTTTTCTTTTTGGCCAAAAGAAAGATGACGTCGTCTTTATCCGTATGAATACGCCGACTCAGCTCGAAAAAGAATACCGTTTTGGTCCAATTCTTGGTGAAGGCACCTTTGGTATTGTTTATTCAGGAGTACGAATAAAGGATAATGCTAAATGCGCAATTAAAAAGGTACCATTTTCGTTAATTGTGTGGTCCTTTTGTGCTTTAGCAGACACCTGTGTTTACTGAATAGCAGTACTTAAACCTTTATATCTTTAATTGCTATTCATTAGATAGTGGAATCTGAGTTCATTGGCTGAAATCTTGCCTTGTATCTGTAAGTGGGTTCCAATTAATGATCAAATTTGTGGAACCGTAGATAACCAATATTATCTGATCCTTGGCGGATTTATAAAATTTCAGACCTACACCTGGTCGATTGTTTAATGCCCAGGTATCCAGCCGTAACAACGACACCTAATAAGATTGACAAATGCAAATGCTGCCTGGTTATTTTCGCCATTCGTCACCGCCAGCCTTCTACGAGAATGGTGAACCTAATGCAAATTGTTTTGTAAAGTCTGGGATAATACTCTGTAACCAGTGACACGTAAGAGACTTGCCAATTACGGGACAATATAGAAGTGGGAGGAGGCTGATCCCAACGTATATTGTGCAGACTACAAAAATAGGGAGAGAATCAATCAGAGCGAGAAACGGTGCCACAAGTTACTCACCAAAACGACTCGTGTCAACGGATGTGCCGTCAGTAAAACAAGTGGACATTTTGAAGGTTAAAGCAACCGTAATATTCAATATTGCAAATTACTGAAAGAGCGTGTTTTCCGGTACAATACAAGAGCCTCCACCTAGAAGGCTGATGGACTGGTGCATTCTATGGAGTTGTTAGTGGGGTAAACGGAAGGTGAGGATGGGTGCGAATAGTTACATATTCTGGAACAAGGGCTTCAAAGGTGGAGTATGTAGCAGTGTTCGCTGGGTCAAGGCTATGGTTATTTATTATTTGTGCTGATCGTGTGGACCAGTATGCATCATCGGTGGGCCGTCGGGACGGGCTGGTCGGACTGTAAAGATTACTGGCTAGTCCAGAACAAAGACCGACAGGACATTCCTCTGCTGCTGTCCCGACGGTGGGCTTGGGGGTGTCACTTCCCCCACATCAATTCAGTCCACAGTCCTCGCCCCACAAAGAAATCCAAGCGTCCTCGTCCCACGAAGAAATCCGGATGTCTTCGTCCCACAAATCAATCAGGATGTCTTCTTCCCACGAAGAATTCCGGCGTCCTCGTCGTCAACGCCTAACCAGGCGCTTGGGGACCAACCCGTTCGTAGCTGTCCGCGGCTGAGGGCGACTGACTGTTCCTTGGGTCAGGAAGGGGGCCTTGGTTCGGCTGACGAGTCACTCGGGTGTTGCGTTGAGCCGGTTGGCGAGTCACTCGAGGGTTGCCTTGGCAGTTCCGGCGGTTGAGTTTCTGGAAGAAAGAACTCAGACGGATTGAGCAAGGATCGAGGGAAATGGATTTAAACCGGACATGCGTGCTATTAGTAAATACTCTTTTTAAGTTTGCAAAATGTTTTGGGTTCTTTTTGTTGCTTTTGCAAAACGTTTGTGGATGAGACGCACGATTACCACTAAAGTTGAAGAAGGCGTGTTAATGGAAATAGCAAACCTTTACAAAATCTAAAATACGGACCGGAAGTTTGACCTGTCTACCGCATCGCTCGGTTGCCCTGGGGTTGAGGCGGGGTAGGTTGAGGGTCAAGGGGAACGGAGGGTTTCGGGATATCCAGTGCCCGGGAAGTCACCGGAGGTGCGAGTGCTTGTATGATAGTATCAGAATGGGTTGCAAATGGTTCGTCAAAGAAAGCCACTGAGGCGATCGATTGATACTGTTGTTCGGTGACCATTCTGGTCTAAGGTGAAACGTTTCGGAGTCCGTTGCAGAACTCTGAAAGGGTCAGCGTAAGGAGGATGGCGAGGAAGCCGCACTGGTTCAGTGTGGAGGAAGACTTGAGTGCAAGTAGAAAGTCCGCTGTGCATTTGCACATCTCTCGTCTGCTCACGAGGCGGAGTCGGGCGTAGTGAACGAATGCGTTGCGCTAGGGAGGACTCTAAGTTAGACGAATGCATATCGGACGATGCGTTAGATGAAACGGATTCTTCTGACAACTTTAGCGTTGTGGCGTAAACCAGCTCTGCTGGTACACATTGCAAGTCAGCTTTGATGCTGCTGTGAATGCCTAAGAGTACGAGCGAAACGTTTTTGCTCCAGCTAGGTTCGGAGGAGGCACAGAGCGAGATTTTAAGCTGTCTACGGAAGCGTTTAACTAAACCGTCGGCTGCTGGGTGATATGCTGTGGTATGAATGCGGCGCAGCCTAAAGGTTGCAGAACGTGTCGAATTGTTAAGATTCGGAAAGCGTTCCTCGGTCAGTTGTTATGATGGATGGGCATCCGTAGTGCAAGACCCACCGATTTAAGAAGGCCCAGATAACAGTCTCAGCTGTGCAGTCTGTTACGGGAGTGGCTTCTGGCCATCTCATGAAGCGGTCTATACATGCAAGGATGTATACGAATCCGTGTGAAGGAGGCTAGTGACTTATCAGGCCTACGTGTACCTGCGCGAACCAAGAGTCCGGGATAGGAAATGAACCAAGAGAACTGCGGATGTGACGATGTATTTTGGAACGCTGTCACTAAAGGTAGGCGCGAGCCCAGGTACGAACATCTTTGTTTACGCCTGGCCAAACGAACCGTTCAGTGACCAGTTTCAAAGATGCACGGATACCAGGATACGATAGTGAGTGCAATGCGTCAAAGACTGTGCGTCTGAAGGAGACGGGCACGAGGGGTCTAGGACAAGATGTGAATTGTCACACTGAATAGTTCCTTCCGTGGTTTCAAGAGGAACAGGTTACATATGCAGCGAAGTGGACTGCAGAATGCGTTGTGTGTCTTCAGCCCGAGCCGATGCCATGGCGGCAAGCTCGACGGTAGGCAAAGGCTGGAGAGTGAGGTTGACGCTTGAGAAAGCGTCGGCGACGGGATTGTCGACACCTGAGACATGACGTATGTCAGCAGTGAACTACGTGACAAAGTCCAGGTGTCTCGTTTTCCACGGTGAATATTTGTCGTAAGCAGAGTTGAAGGTGAAGATGAGGGGCTTGTGTGCGGTGTGGTGTGCGCACGTTCAATCACCCGCTGTTGAGCGCTCTGCGCGGAGGCATACGATTCCATTGGCGGGCAATCGTATTGATGATGTTCTGAATTGGAGGAAGTCATGGGTTAGATGAAACGGGGACAGTGACAGTATGCGCAGGGAAAAATAAAGAAGGGAGGCGTCAGAGGTAGCATGTTTTCACTTATCCACCCCGCTGTATGCGACAGATAATGTGACCATTTTCCTAAGGCTAATGCAGGACGGCCGATGCAGCATGGGATGATCATTATTGGCTTGAATCATGTTCGGGGATTGGACTGGTTTACTGCCAGGGTGTCAACACCTGGTAGGAGAACGACTCGGGCCCTCAGCCAAAGCCGTTGATAAAGTATACACCCGAAAGACACGGGTCAGTGAGCTGACTCACGCGGAATTGTGTCCTGGCTATTAGCTAGAAGAAGGTGTAACTCAACTCCCACCCAGTGGTCGCCATGGCAAAGCGTCCAGGACATGATCCCAGGTCACAATATTAGCAGCAGCGGGTCGACGATCTGTCAAGGTCTCGCCACCACAAGCCTTAGCACGCCGTGGGTTTTCCCGCCTTATATATATATATATATATATATATATATATATATCACCATGGCAAGCAAGGAAAAGTAAATTTATCGTAAAAACCCCGCATACAACACAGTGAAGTGCATGATTTTGTAAAAGAGCACCATGCTACCCGGCTGCCCAAGACCAGGTTTGGTGTTGACTTAGGCGACACCACCTCGAGCATTTGGCCAAATAGCCTAACCGCAAGGCAGCTGGGCAGATACACGGAATCGCACCCATTGGAAGCCGCTAACTGATTGCTCAGTGCATATGCCTTTCCTTTGGTCGGATACAAAATAGGGGTCCAATATTCCCCATGATTTCAGCATCGGGTGGCTGGAATACAATGCTCCAACAGAGTGTAACAAGGCGCAATGAATTTACTTAGAGGCGAGTCACATCCATTGCGTCACTCTGTTTTTAATCGTACCTATGCTGTTTTTATAGGGAGAATGCTTGCCAGATGACAACCGTCTACTTCCGGGAACACTACCGCCGAACCAAATGCTGGAACGTAATAAATTCGAACCACCCAGCTGGTACCACGAAGAGCTTGTTCAGCAATCCAGCCCTAATTGCCATAGTTCAGCGGATAATGTTATCTCTATACTTGTCGCGAATTTGGTCCTGGTAAGGATAGCACTCAGGTGCTGCAGCGCAGATACTGACTTCTTTTTAAACTTAGCGTCTACGGCGTTGCAACGTTAGGGTAATCGTGGGAATATGCGTCGCCTCAGCGGCGGAAAATAAAGATGGAAATTGGTCATTTAATGTAGTGCGCTGCTGCGGTAACGCGAAAAATATACATGGAGTGCAGCTCGTATATAGAGGAGGGAAGACGACAAAATTGAAAGGATCCGAGTAGTTCGGGAAGATAATAGCATAAAATGTATATAAATGTATATATAATAACTTTTCTGTAGGGTCGTGTAGTGACTGTGGATAGGAAGCTTTTTCAATGTCCCATAGTCACACCATTAGCAGCGCAAGTACATAGTTAACGGTGGAACAGTAACGGTGTTACTTACTGCAAATTGCTGCCTGCATGTCTAAAACGCAAGCGTGTTATTGCAGCTTTGTCTGCACAAAAGTAACTAAGCTAATAACGCCAAATTTAACCTGATGCACAACACAGCGCGGGTGTGGGCACCAAATAAGCACTAAAGCGATATATTCTAGATGGCGTGACATTCTAGGTGAGTATCGGTCGGTCGTCGAGCCAAGCACGCAAATCAATGGTTTGTGACCGATGATGTCCGCAAACATGCGGTCTTCTGAGGCAAATCGAAAGTGACGTATAACTAATAAGGTGGCCACTAGTCCTCTGACCAACATGCTGTAACAAGATTAGACGGACTGCACGAGTATGGGGAAAAACTACTAAAGGTTACTAAGAGTCATCTATCTT